TGAATCTCATTCTTAATTTTGAGAGATTCTAAAAATTTTCTTGAACCCTTGAATTTGTTTTAATTGTCCTCTTTGCCATAAAAATACAAAATCATTCACTTGAGGGTTGAGTAAAATTTAATTTGGGGAGAATGAAAAAGAAAGATGGTAGGTTGCTACAACTTTTGAAAAATTCAAGCAAGCACAAAAAAAAATTGTGTGAATATGAAAAAAGAAAAGAAAAAGAATGCTTGCTTGGAAAAGAAAAATAGTGAAAGAATAAGTTGTGAAATAAGGTTTGTGAAGGTTTACAACTAAGAAACAAATGCAATGAAGTTGAGGTATGTAAATAACGTGTTCGGTGAATGTCTCTTTTGTATCGGCAATTTCGTTTCAATGGCCTTAGAAATGTCCCTTGTTTGTAAACCCGACCAAGCTACAACCTTAAAAACCTTAGTGATCTTCTTGCTTCCATATTTTCGCTTTTGATTGTTAGATTTTGTATGAATTGAATTGATATTGGCATTGTTTGTTAGTTGAGTGAAATTGTCCCCGCGAATGCAAACGCGTAATTTCTTCAATCCTTATTCGAAGAGGAGAGATAGAGTGATTCACTCATGAAAAACATAGTTGTTGATTGATACATGGCTTAATATTTGATTTAAGAATTTAGTTATTTTGCATTGTTTGATTCTCAACATTTGAAACCATTGCTTGTTTGCATCATTTGTGTTTGAGCCAATTTTATCCATTCTTGGGTGAATCTTAATCTTGAGCAAATCCTCTTGTTGCAAAAATGAGAGGCATACTTTGCTTGAGGACAAGCAAAAATCTAGTTGGGGTGAGTTGTTAGACGCCAAATTTTACTTATTTGATCTATAAAATGTTGGCATCTTTCGCTCATTTTTGTCAAGAAAGTGTTGAAAACCACTCTTGCTTTGGTTGGTTTGCAACATTATGAGAATATCTCTTGGTACCTTTGATTTGTGTGTTATTGTGCGGGAATTAGGCACAAAACAAGTGAATAGTAAGACACACAAAAATGGGCATGCTGTCAAGTTCGCTAGGCGAAGGGGTAGCGAAGCTCTAGCGAAGAAAACGACCCTAAGTTCGCTAGGCGAGCAGGTAGCGAAAACTCTCAGACTTGGACATAACCAAACGGACCATAAATTCGCTTGGCGAAATCAGAGCGAAGGCTTCGCTATCTGTTCGCTAGGCGAACATGACAGATCTTGAATGTTCTATTTAAGTATTTTTCTTTCTTTTTAGGTCATATGTCCATATTGTAAAATTAGATACACTAGAACTTATCTCTCTTCATTTATTCTAGAGAGAGGAACACAAAACCCTAAGAGGGAGGAGATAAGATCTTTAATCTCTTGTTGAGGTTTGGATGTAATCTTTTAATACCTTATGTATTTCATCTAATTTATGTTTGTGAACTAGTTTGGATTCTCTATTGATTGATTATCTTCGATTATATATTTGTGGGTCTTGACAAAACCTTTTCACATCTTTGATCTCAGATTTTCTTCTATCAATGAACAAACTTTTGACATTGTTTTGAAGTTAATATTCATTGTATATTCTATGGTGTTGTGTTGATTAAGTAGCATGGGTAGCATGGGTAGGATCAATATGATATTGTGTGGGTATGTGATAATAGTGATGAAGAATGATATTCATAACCATTTGGCGGATTAGATGAATACATGTAAAAAAGGTTAAGCGTGTGTACGTATTTTGATCATTGTGTTTTATACAAAACAATCGTTTATCTGATATGAGTTTCGTCCTTTTTTACCTGTTTATCTTTGATTTGAACCGTGATAGAGATATACTCTTCAGATCTGGATCTAGAATGATTACCTGTTAGGTCCTAAATGCTAGAGATAGGTTTAGGCTTAACATTTGCGCGAGTATCAATTCTAATGCTCTGTGTTGTGTTTTTGTTGGATGAGAGATCACCAATGAGACAGCATGGTTGTTCTCTCAATGTTGCGTTAGAGATAAGCTTTGTCGTGGATGATATGTAAGGGTATCAAACGAATGATTGCGTTGTGTTTAACTTGATCAGAAGAATGCATATGTTATCAATTGATGAAATTCAATCCCAACAAGGCTCCGTTTATATTTCAGTCTTTACTTTATATTTTCTGTTTTTATCTATGGTTCCTTGAACCTTTTAAACCAAAACTTTTGAACAACAAGCTTAAAAATGTAGAGGTCGTTGAACAGCGTTCATATCACACTAATCCCTGTGGAGACGACAAAACTAGGTACTTAATATTTTTTGCTTGCTGCTTTACCGCACTAACATAGTCCCACATTGATTGAAAATATAGAAACTTGAGCATTTATAAATGAGAAAACCCACCCACCTATATCAACTTAAGATTTTGGATAATGTTTTAAAAACCGGACTAAATCGACAGGTTCAACCGGTTGGACCGAGAATCGGAGATGAATCTGGTTTGATCAATCTTTAAAAATTGCTAGTGTGTCAAAACCGGATTGAACCGTCCAAACCATTAGAACCAGAGAACCCAAGCCGGTTTTGTAAAACTGTCCTGTTAAAAAAATTATCAAAGTGATCATTTTTTTTAATTTTTTTTAAAAAAAATTAATATGTTAATATCAAAACTTAACATACATTTCCCAATCACAAAAAAGAATTCCGTGTATTTTTTACAATAATACAAACTTCTAAGTTTTGTCACTCTATTATAGTTTCACTCCATCATCATTATGATGTCTCTTTCAATCATAGTCACGATGTTCAACTCTATTACTTGTCGTTCAAGTCAATATTGTTTGTTGTCAATTAAGACTTGTTTATCGTAGTTCAACTCAAATTTGATTTTTTGTTGTTTAATGAAGTATATTGTATTATTTATATTTTGCTATTCTATCTTATTTAATTTAGGTATTTTTAATTATTTGAACTTTATTTTAGTTGGGCATAATTAATTCCAAAGTCCTTTAACATAATTTCATGTTTCGCTTTGGTCCCTTAGCAAAAAAAGATTACGTATTGGTCCTCGGAGAATGGTTCTGTTACATCAAAAGGTCCTTTCTGTTAAAAATTCAGAAGAAAAAAAACGTTAACTTTGATATGTGGCATGACAGGTTAGCAAGCTGAGTCAGCATATATATTTAAAACATAATATTTTATTTAAATTGAAGAGGTTTTATTTTAAGAGGTTAAAAATCCCACAAAATGTTAATAATGTGTAAAAAAAATATTAAACACTTTCATGAATAAACAATGTACATATCAAACAAATATTTTTTCCTATATTAATTTATATATGCAAAATAAAAAATTATTCAATTTAATACAATTACAACAAAGAACACCAACAGACGCAACACATGTTACAAAAGTTGTATCACCCTCAATGCCAACACAATAATTATCAATACTACAAAGCATGTCATCTTCAACTTAAAACTTAATCTGTTAGAACCTCTCTTTGAACCACCTATTCTCCATAATCTCAAGAATAACAATCCTTACTTAAGGCTTCGTACCAATGAAGTAGGGGATATCCAAGTAGTCATTGATATTAAGGAGATATACCAAGTAGTCATTAATACAAAGTGTATGTCCTGTTGAATTTATGTTATATAAAACTAAAAATCAAGTTATATGAATAAAAAGAATTGAAAATAAATTGAGGTAAGGTTTCAAATAAATTGAATTTGAAAATGTAAATTTAAAAAAATAAATATGTTAACAATCATCCTCTGTCAAAATGTCATTACAGTACCGACTGTTGTTGTGTCAACCCTATTATCCCATAAGTTCATGTCTCTGTCTAACTTCTCCGCTGCCGTAGAACAAATATATAAAATGAAATAAAATCTTGAAATATTATCAATTCATTAGAACTACCATATAGATAGTAATTAACGTTTTTTTCCTAAAAACTTAACGAAAATGACTAAAAATATTAATGGAACAACTTTAAGGGACTAAAATGTAAGGTTTTTTAATTCAGAGATTAAATTGAAATATTAAATTAAATTAAATGACCAAAAGATAAATTAAGCCCTTTAGTTATAATATTCTATTATTTTAATTTTGGTTTAAATTAGTTTAATTTATTTTATTGTAATTTTTTAATTTGGTCTAAATTTTCTTAAATACAGTTAAAATAAAGTGTAAAATTATGTATTAAATTTGTAATAAAATTTTAAAATATTTATTTTATTAAATTAAAAATATATAATAATGTCGGACATATCTATAAAATTTTTGTTTCATATTATTAGTCTATTTAATAAATGATTCTAACCAATTGAACTTTAGACCCTTTAATTTTATCAATTCGATCTCTGATTCTATTTTTAAAATATTATTTTTAAATAAATAGGTAGGGTCTCTCGTTATAAAAAAAAAAAATCTCTCTCACAGTATGCAATGCTTTCTAGTAAAAATACTCCACCAACACAATAATCGTTAGAGTTGATTTAAGAGTCTCACTTGATAATGAGACATCTCAAGTTGAATTTAGTGTTAAAAGAAAACTACCTTGCTTAAAGTTCTATTCAAAATCATAAGGAGTATAATATTTATATTATAAAGTATTATTTCCCATAAAACAAACAAAGTCCTTCTTACATTATAATTTTTAAATATAACTTATAAGATATCATTTCTCATAAAACACACAAAGTCCTTCTTCCATTATAATTTTTAAATATAACCTTCCATTCATTTAAATGCTACTCCATACTAGTACATAATATACATCCCATTAATGCACATATTAATTCATACCCAAATTAACAACGATCTATGAATCCATCTCACCAACCCTCGGTCTTTTTCACATTCATACCGATATCTCAAATGCATGAATGTGAATCTTCAACTTTAGACAACCGAATTCCCATAATACCCTTCTATCATTAGAAAATGACATAATTAACCCCATACATTCCAAAGAAGAAAAAAACAAAAGCTAAGAATTATGAAAAGAAAAACCTCCTAGCTAGTAGCATACTATTTCAACCTACACCACCATTCCAGCACTGTTTCTACCACCAAACTCAACTACATTACCATTACCATCCCTCTCTCTTCGAACTTCAGGTACACCACTGAACAACTCTCCAACAGAACTAACAACACAACACTTCCTAACACTGTTACGCGCACTTTTTTTCTTACTGTTAGTTTCAGAAGAAGAACAAGACTCGTTCGAGTTTGGTGATAACGGTATAGGCAAAACAGACGGTATCTTGAAATTCGTTCTAGCCTTAGAGCCTCTCAGTCGCCTAGCAGCTGCGTCGTAAGCACGCGCCGCTTCTTCAGCCGTGTCGAATGTTCCTAGCCAGTGACGGCACCGACCGATTCTGTCGCGTATTTCCGCTGACCATCTTCCCCATGGTCGTTTTCTAACTCCTCTGTAGCTCTGGTTTAAGGGGATGGTGTTGGTTTTTGTTTGTTCTGTTGTTGTGTTTTTGGGATGTGAAACGGTGTTGGATGGTGTCGTTTTGGTGTGGTGGGGTCCGAAGAGGATTTGTTCTCCGACAACCGCGGCGATTCCTTCGAGAGATGTTTGATGAAATGAAAAGTATGGGTTGTTTTTCGAAAGGTTTAAGGTTGTGGTGGTTGTTGTTGTGGGGTTGTATGAGAAGTTTTCAATATTCATGGTGAAAGTGTTTTTGTGTTATAATGTGTGTTTTGTTCAACGCAGAATGGTCATGGCTATATATATATTTGAAGAAATATGTATTTTCTTTAAACTAAAAGATAGTAATTGAGTAGTGGGGAGTATTTTATGTGAGAAAGGTAGATTTTGCTGTCAATGTCGATAAGACCGTAATCCCTCATATTTACATGTTTGTCTTTTCTAGGCTGGCTCTCTTGTACGTAGGGATACACCTTTTTGAAGATCGTAAACTTCTCTAGGGATAGGCAAAAACAAAAAATATGTTATAAGTAATACATAAAACAATTATAAGACACAATTAATATATTGTATTCATAGTATCAACTATTTTAATTATTGTACCTTTAAAAAACCTCTTGATTTATTGGCTTAGTTGTTGTAGTTTATGTATGTGTTCCTTTTAGCCTAACACTTGGTTTTATGTCAAAATTATAAATTTTACTTGAATCACAAGTCATAACACTTTAATCAATGTTGTAAGATTGTGTGATTCTAATCATACATGCAGTCGACTCATATGGCATCATGAAAGGTGGGATTTGGTGTTGCTTCATTTGACTCGAATCATAGCAAGGTGCGATTCAAATCACAACCTTCCTTGAGTCGAATCATGAAGTATATGTGGCTCGAATCTTGGCTTGTGTCCTCTCTTTCCAATCTTTGATTCAAGTTGATTATCTCTTTGGTTGAATCATTACTTAATGATTTGATAAAAAAATCTTTTGTCTAAGTCAATTAAGAGTAACATTCCCAAGAGTGAGTGTCTACCCCTTTGCACCACCATCAATATTTCTCCTTTTTGTCATGAGAGAGTGTCTCACCTTAGAGAGAAAAACTCAAGGAAAAATGTGAAAAATCACAACTCTTGAATTGTTTTTATTCTTGTGTTCTTGTTGAAGACTAAGAAACCCAAAGAAAGTGAATATGATTTTATCAATCAAGTGTTAAGATTGATTGATATTAGAACAACTATCCAAGAACCAAAAACGCATTATTGCCAAGAACCTTAAGAGAACCTAGTTTTGTTCTTCATTCACCAACACCTAATTTTCTTGTTGATACCTTGTGATTAATCTCCTAGCATATGGGTTATGTGAATGTTAGTTGTGTGTGTGATATTCTTCATATACTATTCATCGTCTTCAACATTTTCTAAACCATAGTTGTGGACCTTCAACTCTAAAGATTGAGTATGAGAGGTAGATAAAAGGTACATTTGAGAATCTAATATTTTTCTTTGAAGTGATGTTTTTGCGTATCCTGTGGAAGAATCATTTTTTGGACATGGATTTTTCTTGTGTCTTGCTTACAAGATAGAAGGACGTTTATGTACTCCATTGAAGACTTTGGTGAAACCATGTGAAGGTTGTCACAGAATAAAGTTGGGAATTATCTATTTAATCAAGGCTAATGTTGCTCGTACGCAACCGATTATTCCAGAGGCTTCAAGTAGCTTAGACTTCAATTTGGCCAGAGGTTTTATTAACATTGTCTGGACGCAACCGATTATACCAGAGACTTCAAGTAGCTTGGATTTCATCTTAGATCGTGTCCTAGGACCACTTTATCTGCTTTATACAATAAACTTGTTTTAACTATGGGTGGCTCATTAAAAACCTTTGTCATTGCAAGGGAAAAGAGTGCATTCCCATAATTTTTATTTATGATGTTTATTACATAGTCTAGCTTAGATAAAACTCAATACTAGTTACATTCCAGGTCCTAGGTATTTCAACATCCACTAAACTTTCTAACTTGTAAGCTTCATTATTCAACCTCTGACGGATACGAAAAAGTCCTTCCTAATTTAGAGATAGCTTGCCTTTCTAACTTGAAGTTCTCTAGAACTTGATCATCCCAGATTACCTCGAACAAAGGTTTGGAGTCTATAGGCTTCTCCTCTGTGTCCTCATCCTGTTGACTTTGTGTCTGTAAAATATGAACATTATCTTACAAGGTTTCATTCTGTTACGAAAAGACTTCACTACAACGAGAAGCTAAGTTAGATTTGACGGTGGAGGTGGATCACTTCGACTGTGAGATGACTCGAACATTCCATAACTGGACTATTAGCAATTTAGATGATATTTTGGTGTGGCCTGGGCAAGTTTTAATGAGACCCCACGGTGGACACCAAATGTTCTTGCTAAAAAATACCAAACGGTTGACTTTCCTGTTATGAGTCAGGGAAAGCCTAAAATGATTGGTTTAAGTGTCTGTTTATGTGTTTTTCAAGTGATTTCTACTTTCTCTTCTTCATCCAAAAAGTTTCCTATTTATATTGTTTGATTCACCCATCCTCTATTAATGTCCGCCCTTTCATATCCTTCAAAAAGGCAACCTCAAATAACATATGTCGCCCCCATAATTGTCAGGTAAAGTTTTTCCCATCAATAATTGTAACTCTCATGCAATCATGGAGTCATTTTGTAACCGTCTCTTGCGACTCTTTGGATGGTATCCTAGATTTGACATTGGCTCTGATGTGCTTGTATTAGTGCTTCTAACCGGATTCCGACCTACTTGCCTCTTCACAAGGTTTTATAACCGATGATGACCCCAGCCTATCAAGGTTCACAGCCCGACAACATGACGATTTCTATCTGTCTAATACCTAACTTTCGCATGATCCATTCTTATTTCATCATAGGTTTCTTTCAATTTTATTCATTGACTAGTCAAACTAATTTTTAAGATGTACAAGTCTCAAAAAGAGGATCGATCTATTCAACTCTCCCACTAGACCTTTTTCATACTTATATTCTCGACTAACACTTAATAGTTCTTATGCATGGAATCCCAAATTTCATTTATAGTGTTACGCACAAAAATTGTCTATAATATATAATGGTAAATGGATTGAAGGAGATAATTCTTCATCCTTAAGTCATTGAGTTTATTTTAGTTGTTTTCTTGACCTACTCGAGAGTGGCATTGGAGGTGCTACTATGACACCATCTTTTATCAGGCTCCAATATCATTTTTAGAGCAATAAGTTCTCTATTAAGTTTGATTAGTGATCTAGTCCATCAAATTTCAATATCGATGGTGGAGAAAATTCATGTGTGATTCCATGTGCAAGAATGTGAAGATGCAAGGACTAAGAGAGAAATGTATATTTTCTTGATGGGTTATTGATGAGTTGTAGCCAACTCTAATGACTTACACTTACAACCAATACCTACCCGGCAAAAATGTGTTTTGTTTTTAACTAACATAACTCGGTGTGAGCTCTTAATACAAATTGCGAGGTAAATGTGTATTCTCATTATCTAAGATCGAGTACGAAAGGAGTATGCATAAATTGCTTAACAATTACAACTTATGTTTTGGTTGCGAAAGTGACCAATATTACAAACAAAGCACTGAACAAACTACCCGTTCCTAACACTCAGAGTGTTTTGATGAAAGATTCTCATGAGGGAAAAGATTTTCTTTTGAAAAAAAATTTTGAAATGACTTTGTTAAGATTTATTGTTTGAATAAAAACAAAAAAATAAAGATAATTGTAAAAATGATAGAAGAATATGAGGTATTATTTCCAAGTTATATATAGGGAATTGTAAATGACACTTAAAATTAAGGAATTAAAATTTTCTCTCATACTCTAATAGATAATGTAATTGGCAAATTAATTATTATTGAAATTTTAAAATTGATCCTATTTAAATTTTACAAAATGTTATTTATTTTTTTAAATATTGAATTGTACTAAAAAATTTTAAATTTATTAAAATGGCTAAAAAAGTTAGAAATTAAAAGAAAAAAAGAAATTAAAAGAAAAAAATTCAATTAATGCATGGAAATTGCCTATAATTCTTCATTTCTTATATGTGTGTGTGTGTGTGTGTGTGTGTGTGTGTGTGTGTGTGTGTGTGTGTGTGTGTGTGTGTGTGTGTGTGTGTGTGTGTGTGTGTGTGTGTGTGTGTGTGTGTGTGTGTGTGTGTGTGTGTGTGTGTGTGTGTGTGTGTGTGTGTGTGTGTGTGTGTGTGTGTGTGTGTGTGTGTGTGTGTGTGTGTGTGTGTGTGTGTGTGTGTGTGTGTGTGTGTGTGTGTGTGTGTGTGTGTGTGTGTGTGTGTGTGTGTGTGTGTGTGTGTGTGTGTGTGTGTGTGTGTGTGTGTGTGTGTGTGTGTGTGTGTGTGTGTGTGTGTGTGTGTGTGTGTGTGTGTGTGTGTGTGTGTGTGTGTGTGTGTGTGTGTGTGTGTGTGTGTGTGTGTGTGTGTGTGTGTGTGTGTGTGTGTGTGTGTGTGTGTGTGTGTGTGTGTGTGTGTGTGTGTGTGTGTGTGTGTGTGTGTGTGTGTGTGTGTGTGTGTGTGTGTGTGTGTGTGTGTGTGTGTGTGTGTGTGTGTGTGTGTGTGTGTGTGTGTGTGTGTGTGTGTGTGTGTGTGTGTGTGTGTGTGTGTGTGTGTGTGTGTGTGAAGGCGTGCAAAACAGTTTGCAACACAGACTCTCGCATTTTTTCATGATTAAGTTATGAAAAAAATGGTCTCTGTGTAAATATTTTACAGTTAATTTATGATTAAATAGGACTTCTTAAAAAAAATTCACGACTTTATTGAAGTTAAGATCAATTTCTTACACAAAACTTCTCAAAATAGTAAGACAACTTTGTGTATGTGTATGAGAGAGACTTTTAAAAAATGAATGATTATTGTTCTGGACTGGGTCAAGACCTGCCTCTCAGTCGGGCAGACCCAACCCAATGTTATGCTGATGAGGCCCAACAAGGCCCAATCCTCCTCCGTCGGGCACATGCCTCAATCAGACACAGGCGTCGAGTAGAAGACCTTTCTGACGGGAAAGCTCACGCACTTCCCACACGTCCTCCACGTGTCCCCACGTGGGAACATGTCATCAGGCAACTACCCACCTCCGAAAGAGTCGGTCAACCCACCTTCCGAAAATCACGGAGCAATTGATCTAGGATAAAGACCACGTGCTGGTCTTCACTACGCCACGTAAGCCCTGATAGATACTTG